TGTCGACCGGGAAAGAATTTTTAATAGCGTCACCTAGAACGAGACAAAATATCATTATTTCGGTGATGTCAGACATGTTTTTTTTTTTTTTTTTGCAATGTGGATTTTCTATAAAGACAAAAAGATGATTTTTTAGAAAAATCAAATGTTTCGGTACGCGTATTTATAAATTTTACGTGGTTGAGATGTGTTCACCGGAAAAAAAAACATGACAATCATTTACCCTTTTATGTAAGTTTAAAAATTCGTTGTTCCAGTTTAGGACCTGAGACACGAGTCCACATGTGACATTTTAATCCGAATTACATATATTTTCGACCGTCACTGTGGATGTAATGTATGGGACTTGCATCAACTGCTGTAGATTGGATAATAATCAAGCTAGTTTCGTCTAACTCTGAGAATAATACTGTAATAGCGAAGGGAAGGTGGAAGTGTTATTAAGTTCGTTGTCACCCTCTCCATTACCAATAAACAAGGTTATATTGATCCATGATGACTTGGTGGAGCCTATCAAGGGCAAATAAAGTGGGTGTTTGATAGCCAGATTGAATCCCAGGAATTATTGAAGCGGAAAAAAACATAATAATAGGATAAAATATAGACGTTATGTATCACGGGCTACGTGATCTGGTTGCATGATGCAACGAGGTAAACATGATTTTTTTATTTGTGTACTAATTCGAACTTTTGAATTATTTCCATCTTGTATAAAACAATGTCAAACACTCAATCCATTGATTCATTAAGAGAATTAAATGCTAAACTCTTAGCTGAGATTGCTGAGCTTAGAAAGAAGAACGATAAAATTCCTGTACTTGAAAAGAAATTTGCTGAGGTTGAGATTGAGAATGCGAAGTTGAAGCAGATTGTTGAGGAGAATATAAAGCATGATGTTAAAGTCGAAGAATTATAGCAAAAGAATAAAGAGCTTGAGGCTAGGCTTGCAATAATGGAACAGAGTTCTGTGGCAGTGGATGGACAACCACAGAATAACTCACGGAGTGAGGATGCTAACGTATCTAAGAAAGCGATACTAGAGATATTACCAGAGGCATCTGCTGATGATGATTCCGTAGTAGACCAGCTCGAGCAACATGCACCTGTTTGTAAAGCAAATGATGTGATATCAGAAGTGTTATCAGAGGTCAACTTCAAGTCACCGGAGGAGAGAGAGATGGATAAATTCTTAAATGAGGCACATAAGAAAAATGTTAGTGATAAAATAAGGCAACACAATAAGGAAAAGAAGTTTCAATCCCAAAACTCTACATAATATGATAAAGATAATTCATCATGTGATATAAAAACCGTTTCTCAGGGAAACGATCGTGATAATATTGAAAGTAGTGTAGAAACTATTCTGAATACTTCTTTACCGGCAGAAGATCTTTGACGATTCTGATGAAATTGAGCTTACTAAAAATCAAAATATAGAACTAGATTTACGGAATGGTATGCTTATTACTATACCTGATCCTATAGAAACACCTCCTGAAATTACAACACAAAGCTTAATTAATTCGTTTAGAAAAATTATACGATCTGGACATGAAGAAATTTTATCCTGGATTCGTTATTCAGATAATTTTGAGAATAAAGTTATCGAAATTCGACATAAGA